TTTTCATTATTGAAATTAAACGATTATATAAATGATATATATATATATATATATATATATATATATATATATATATATATATATATATATAAAACTGTAGAACTCTTAAATGATACTAAGTACTACACTACACTCATAAGGAGTCCTGTTTGTACTTTGCAACAAAAAGCAAATTGTCTAGTATATAAATTAAACAGAAAGAAATTTATTAATAATAAAAAAAGCAAAAGAACTCAAAATTTATAATTCTATTTCTCCACGGTTTTATGCTCTACCTAAAATACATAAACCAACTTTATCTATGAGACCAATTGTTTCTTCTTTATCCCCTTCTAATGGACCAATAGCACAGCTCCTCACTGACATCTTAACTAATGCTTATAATTTAAATAACAATTTTTACATTAAAGATTCATTTGATTTTAGTTCTTTCATTAAAAATTTGCAATTACCACAAAATTATGTTTTAGTTAGTTTTGATGTAACATCTCTTTTTACCAATTTACCTTTAAATTTAATCATACGTAGTGTTGAAAAACATTGGAATGAGATTTCGCAACATCCTAATTACATTTTAAAACACTTATGGTGTCTTTTATAAACGAATATTTGGTAGTCCTATGGGATCTAGTCTTTCACCCTTCTAAGTAGCTATGTCATGGATGATGTTATCAGTGATTGTATCAACAATTGCACTTTTTTCATTCCTTTTATTAAAAAATATGTTGATGATTTAGTTTTGACACTTCCTAAACACAAAATTCATAAAACAGTCAACATTTTCAACAATCATAATCAACATATACAATTTACAGTTGAGGAAGAGGTAGATAATTCTTTATCATTTCTTGACATGATAATTGTAAGAAATACAAACAATATGTTGAAAACCAGATGGTTCAGAAAACCCATATGTAGTAATTGATTTATAAGATATTAATCTCATTATCCAAATAAGATGAAAATGAACCTTATAACAGGATTAAAAGAACACGTTTTAAAGCTTTCTCATCCAGTTCATCTACAAGAAGATCTTCAATTGTTAAAAAATATTTTAATTGTAAACTCTTATCCTCTAGATATGGACAAGATATGTTACATATGATGCTTTTTTCTAATATTGTTAATAGAAACAACACACCATTTTTTACCACTACCTTTTATACCATCATTAACACCTAAATTAATACACATACTAAAGGTTATTGACAATATAAACATAGCAACAAAGAATATTAAAACCATTTCATCTTTATATTCCAAAACTAAGTATCCTATAGACAAATCAGATAAAACAAATGTAGTATACAGCATTAGTTGTACTCAGTGTGAAGCTGAGTATGTTGGTGAGACCGGAAGAAATCTTTCAAATCGCATTACTTCTCACAAAAGCGATTGCAGATTTAAAAAACCATCTTGTGCTTTGACAGAGCATGTAATCGACAAAGACCATAATATGGATTTTGATAACATTAAAATTTTATGTAGTGAAAGTAATAAATTCAAAAGGACTTTTTTTGGAAATGGTTTGTATTAGCAACAGTAATAATAATTTAAACAAAAGATCAGAAATTTAAAATCTAAGCAAAATTTATAATTATTTCTTTGGAGTTTATATGAAACCAGTAAAATATCACATTTTGATTTAATTTTCCATATATTTGTTAATTTTTTCAGGTATCTATCAATGGTAAATAAATCTTTTTTTTTTGTTACTAAACAAAAAAGAATTTTTAAACAAAATTTTATTTTTAGCAATATAATTATCAGAAATAAAAATTTTTGTGTTAAGAAACTTTTTCAAAATTATATCAAAATTTCAGAGAAACAATTATTAAATAAAAACATTTTTATAGTAATATGTTTTGAAATATGTTAGAAGCAATTTTATTAACCAAACTAATTTTATTTGGTGAGTTAACAACTTTTTTTTTTCATTCTAGTTCAACTTTGTAAGATATTTTGTATTTTTTAGCAGCTCTTGATAATAATTGTAAACACAATTGAAAGCTCGAGTAAAAAATAGTTATAGTCCTTTTCCATCATATTGATAGCACATTATGTATGTAAATCCTCAACAGGTCAAAAAAGCATAGGCGTCACCCTATACTTGTTTTGAAATAAATAAAAAAAAATTAATATTTTAAGATGCTGTCAACAATTCATTATCTTTTAAAAAATCTTCTGTAAAATAAGTGTCCACTAATCTCACTATACCTTTTTTGTGCGTAAAAAACGTCGGTATGTTAAATATTGTTAATTATACACGGGTGATTAACGAGAGAATTCAATGTTTCACGAAATAAATTAATGTAAACACTAATTTAAAGGTGATTATTGTTTTCTATACAAGATATCGCCTGACACAAAAAGAATACCTTCTTTGAACGATTACCTGGAATTACTGATAAGGCTTCACTAATGATAGTTTAAGTAGTTTTTATGCCACATTACAGCTTATGCCAATAATATAAATTAGAAATTGCTTGCATCTTCCATTTAGTTTGTAGATGTACATTGTTCATGTCTTACCTACCTACGTTTTTGGTGTCGATATTTTGTTATTTGCATTTAAAAATGACGTCGACAACAGGTTTTATCCCGGTTAAGTGTGGTTTTAAAGGTGCCTCCAGTCTAAGAGAGAAAAATATAATATTAAATGTAAACGATGCACTTGTACATCAACGCCCTTTAAGTAATGTTCGTGAAATCGTTAACATATGTTCAAATATGACAGGGGTTGGAGAAGTAAAAATTTATAGATTCCTAAAAGAAAGAAAAGGAGGAACTGTTTCATCTCCCAAGAAGAGTGGAGGGAGTAAACCCTTGGAAATTGAAGAAATACATAAAAACGTGATAAGACGCAGCGTCCACTCATTTTTTTTATCAAAGAATTTCCAACATTGGACAAAATCCAAACATTAATTAGAGAAAACGAAGAGTTACCTTTATAAGCAACAAGAAATTATGGGGACTATTGAGAGAGAGAGATGGGATTTCGTTTGCAAAAGAATAGAAGAAAATCCGTTTTAATTGAAAAATATTACATTGTATGTTGGAGACGAGATTATCTAAGAACTATTAAAAAGTACCGAGAAGAAGGGAAAACAATTTTTTAGTTGGACGAGATTTAGCTAAATGAAGGTCATACTGTACCATATCTATGGGTTGATACAAATGTGAAAAGTTCCCGTCAGACATTCATCGAAGGTGTATCTACTGGAATAAACAATATTCCCGTTGGAAAAGGACGCAGACTCATAATAACCCATATTGGAAACGAATACGGTTTTGTCAATAGTGGATTATTAAGTTATGCCTCAAAATTAACCAAAGATTACCACGAGGGAATGACTGCTGACGTTTTTGAAGAATATTTTGAGCAAATGTTTGATTAAATTCCAAAAAATTCTGTCATAGTCATGAATAATGCTAGTTACCATTCAAGACTATTAGAAAAATTACCAACAACGGCATGGAAAAAAGGAGAGATAATTGAGTGGTTGGATAAACACGCAATTGAGTACAAGGAGAATTCGACAAAAAAGGAATTATTACCTATTGTAAGGCAACATAAAGCAGCTTATAAAAAATATATAATTGATGAAATGGCATTAAACCGTGATGTAATTATTTTACGTTTACCCCCATACCACTGTGATCTGAATCCTATATCCGAATGCGATAGAAAATATATGGTCTCAAGTAAAGGGTGAAGTCGCACGCAACAACAAAACTTTTAAATTAGAGGACTTACAACAATTATTAGAACATTCCTTATCAAAAGTAACTCCAGAAAATTGGAAAATTCTGTTAGTCATGCTCACAAGGAAGAAAATAAAATGTGGAATTTGATTAAAATAATATTCGTTTTTTTTACAAATCGACCCCTGTTACGGCCACACATTATTTTATATATAATCAATAAAATAAACATCTTACATTTCTTGCAAATTCATTAGTACCTCATTCATTAATCTCCATCACTCCGACACTGGCAACTTTATTTAGGGATTAGTAACCCTCAAAACTATTGTATTCTATTCTGCTTCAACCTTTATACCTGGTGGTTATACTCAATTTAAAATTGTTTTCCTATATACTTCTGTAAACTTGTTGACAAATATCTATTTTTCATGAGTCACCCGTATCAACAGTTTAGGGATTTGCATACATAATGTGCTATCAATATGATGGAAATGGACTATAAAATATAGCCCCTTTTTATTTTTTATTTTTTTTTTCTTAGAAAGGGCTTTAGTGACTATGTGAGTAGTATATAAGGATATCTTGAGTTTAGTAGTCAATATTTACCTTTAAGTAAAACTCTTTTAGGTTTGTTAAGCTTTCGAGTTTATTGTAATCTTTTTCAAAACGTACTAAAAATTAACATAAAAAACTACATTAGAAAAATTGATATAACAACTTCATTTTTCTAATGTAGTTTTTTATGTTAATTTTTAGTACGTTTTGAAAAAGAGTACAATAAACTCGAAAGCTTAACAAACCTAAAAGAGTTTTACTTAAAGGCCAATATTGACTACTAAACCCAAGATATCCATATATATATTATATATATATATATATATATATATATATATATATATATATATATATATATATATTTAGATTATAAAAATATTTCAGATTACTTAGAAAACACTATGTATAATGTTTAAATACAACAGAAAGTAAAATACGTCAGTTTAGTTGGAAAAACTTTCAAGATTTAAAAATAATATATGTTTTTTATTTAATTAGTGGCTTTGGATATCTTGATCCATTCATCCACGATAATTTATTTGACTACTTGAATTTGTTAATGAAGTATTGAACTATTGCATTTGTTAACAAAATAGTACTTCGCATATTTAAATATATCTAATCATAATTCATATTCATAAATACACAAACCAAGTAAAGCATAAAAAAATATAAGAGTCGATTGAATTAGAGGTAAGAAATATAGTTAATATATTACGATAAAATTAAAATTTGACTTACCTTTGCCTCCTAACCCAATGTAGCGCATAGAAGGAATAAATATGATTAAAGGTGTTTTCAAATTCTTCAGGTATTTCGTCCGAACTGACATCAAATTTAACAAAATCAACCTTTGGCAAATAGTACTTTTTTTTAGCAAACTCTATCATTTTTTCGGAACAGTCGCAAGCTACGAATTTTGCAAAATTATTAGGTAGTTTTGGAATGAGATATTCAAATAAAAATTTTCCATCGCCACAACCAATATCGAAAGCAGTTTCTTCTTCCATTTGCCATTGTGAAACGTCCAAAAAATTATCCAAAACAAAAATATTATCAGTTTTTTGAAGTTCGTTGTATTTAGCGTATAACTGAGGTAGGTCCATTTTGAAATTTTGGACGGTACGGCATAGACGGCAACTCTGTGTAAAGGCCCAGTCTCTCGGTTTTTACATTTATAAACATATAGAGGGGCGTGCAACATTTTGGAATACAGTGATCCTCTAACGCAGTTTGGTGATCCCCACTTACATTTTTATTATTACCATTAGTACCATTACACAATTGTGTTTGAATTCGATACAGGGTGTTGGTAGAAAGTCATTAGCTCAAGAAATGGATGGTATTAAGATTTTCTCGACTAAGTATTAAAAATGATCCTTCTTAGGTTTCTTAATTATTTCATATTCTTACAGGTTCATACAAGTTAATTTAAAAATTGAAAAAAAAAAACTTTATGCTTGACAAAATATTTTTTTTAGTATTTTAAATAAAATAAATCCCTTAAATAAAAATGTTTTGATAACTACTTAAATTTGCCTTTCTAATTGCAGGAACAAAAAAATATAAACTAATCATAGTATTAGAATAGTAAATTATTTTATCATTATTTTTATAGACTGATAAGAGAATCACACAAAAACAACATTTTAACTATTGACAAAGTACCTGTACATTTGCTCTTTCAAATGGGATAAACAAATATAATTGCTTAAAAACTACTTAACCGATTGTACCCGTGGAAGAAGAAACAAAGATATAAAAAATAACCAAAGAAAGATAGGGCAAAGTAAACAAAAAATTTTAATCAGATTAGATGTAATATAAAAATAACAAAATACTAGTCCACGAAAAGGATGTGAACAAGAGATGGAAAAAGTACTTTGACAGTTTATTAAATGAAGAATTTTACAGAAACCAGTTAAGTTAAAGAAGACAATAACATAAATGATTACCAAAACACAGAATAAATAACAATCAGAATGCCCACTCTCAGATGCCGCCTTAAGTTTTTCAGCACGCAGATTAAGAACAAAAACTGGAACAGTGGAGACAAGTTCTTGTGGAAAAAACAGAGTATTTGGAATGTATATTTAAAGATGGAGTTACTACAAATAAAATGATATCTTTGGATGGTGAAATGATAAAAGTAATAGTTCCTAGATAAAAGTCCCTAGGATCGGTATTACAGAGTAATGGGGAAATAGATGGAGATGCATGCAGTAGAATTAATTTTGGATGGATTGAGTGGAAGGAAGTGAGTGCTGATTCTGAAGGGAAAATTCTATAAAAATGTGTACTTATGTGTAATTATGTACGGAACTGAACATAAGGCAGATAAAAAGAAAGAAGAACGACGTATGCATGTGGTGGAATTGAGAATGTTTAGATAGATGAGTGGAGCGGTAAAAAATGATAAAATTAAGAATGAGTATATTATAGGGGTGGCAAAAATTGATGTCAACATGAGCGAGTATAGGTTAAGATTAATGTAGCGATATTAAACGTCGAGTATTTTCAACCGGGGTAAAGTATTTTTACCCTTTCATCACCTGTCCAAGTAATAAATTCGATTTTTAATATTTAATATTATTTCCGCTTTATTTTCTATCCTTCTAATTACTTGCACGTCTGAAATTTGTTAAATCCATAATATTCGTAGAATTTTTCTGTAGTACCAAAATTCGAAGGTATTAATTTATTCAGATGAACTTGTTTCACGCTTGCAAGCATCCCTAGGCATAATTCTAACCTTATATCCCGACAACAAAGAAACTTTTTAAGTTTAATGGATGATACACTTGCTAGTTCAATATGTGTCTTAATTTCTTTAGTTTGGTCTAGATTTGATGTTATCCATTTTCCAAAGTATTTGTAGGTATCCACACTCTCAATTAGAGTAGCCTGACTAGTCAATTAGATATTTGTATTTGTTGATTTAGTCATGATCATGCATTAAGTTCTCTGTAAATTCATATTCAGTCCATACTCATGACAGTACTCATTAAGGCATTGCATTAAGTTTTGCAAATCATTGTTGTATCCATCATTATTACTGTATCGTCTGCAAAACATACATTATTCAAAACTTCGTTATTGACAGATATACCCTCTATTAAATCTGAGAGCGCTTATTTGTATACCGCTTCACTCTCGACATTGAAAAGTAGTGGGGACAGTATTCAACCCTGGTGTATTCCTCTCTGTATTTTGATGTATTGAGTATTCCAGTTGTCAACTCGTACCTTGTAGTTCGGTAACAATGGTTCTTGGTGGTTTAATTCCAATTTAGATAAGATGCAATTTTTTTATCACGACTGGCAATATTTTTGTTTTTTAATATATCAACAAGCTTTATATCTTAGACCTTATCAAACGCCTTTTAAAAGTCTAAAAAATACAACTACATGTCCTAATTCACGTTTATCCATTTCTAGACTATCATATTTAAGCCGAACAAAGCATCTCTTGTGCTCATACCATGTCTAAAGCCAAATTGTGTGTAACTTATTTCATTTTAAAGAGTTTTAACAATTCTGCTGTGTATTATTTTTAAAAATGTTTTGAAGTGTTTTTAAGTTTTAAGTTTTAACTCATTAAAGCTATTATTTTTATGTGATTTGAGGAGGTTCTTGCACTTGACTCGTTGATAATTGCTACAAAGGTCGATTGCAGCTATTGTCTGGGGATTGTGGTGCTCTGATATATAGACTAGAGAAATTAGTAAATAAAAAGCCTTTTTCGTGACACTCTTTGATACAGGTATCTAAAACTTGCTTTTAATAAACTTGTAAAGGTCGATTCAAACACATCAGTCCCGTCACAGTCCCGGTGCCGAACCGGTCCTGTTTGGTCACAGAACTATTAATTATCTGACAGCTGGGAAACTGTTCGTCAACTGATGAATATGAATGCGGGCGGCATATATTTCTAAAAGAATATTTTGTATGAAGGATTGTTCGGTTCGGCCCCGGGACTGTGACGAGACGTGACTGATGTGTTTAAATCGACCCTAAAGGTCAATTCAGACACATCAGTCCCGTCATAGTCTCGGCGCCGAATCGGTCCTGTTTGGTCACAGAACTATCAACTATCTGACAGCTGGGAAACTGTTCGTCGCCTGATGAATGTGAATGCCGGCGCCATATTTTTATTAAAGAATATTTTGTAGACGGATTGTTCGGTTCGGCGCCAGGACTGTGACGAGACGTGACTGATGTGTCTGAATCGACCTTAAACGTGATAAAAATATGTAATAAGCAAAATATGCAAAGGATTAAATGTCATTTTTTCACTTATAAACAATATACTTTGATGGTACACAAGGCAAATATCGAACACAGTAGTTAATCAAATCTTGCCCAAGTACTTTCGATCACAAGATCATCCTCAGGGGCATTGCGTCAGTTGTGGTCTATCCAGCAGTAACAGAATGTCATAAATGTAAATTGGGACATAACAAATACACTAAACAAAGACAAACAAACACTTTAAAATTTAAAAATTGGAGAAGCTACATTTTATATAGAAGCCGGAGACAGAATCCGGCTCATCCGAATCATTCTGTCTCCGGCTTCTATATAAAATGTAGCTTCTCCAATTTTTAAATTTTTAAAGTGTTTGTTTGTCTTTGTTTAGTATATTTGTTATGTCCCAATTTACATTTATGACATTCTGTTACTGCTGGATAGGCCACAACTGACGAAATGCCCCTGAGGATGATCTTGTGATCGAAAGTACTTGGGCAAGATTTGATTAACTACTGTGTTCGATATTTGCCTTGTGTACCATCAAAGTTCATTTATTCGAACATTCAACCTTATATTGATTTATAAACAATATATTATAATCAATGAAAGATCGCTATTTGATTTTAAATATTAAAAGTGACACAATTTTACTTAAAAAAAAAACACAAAATTAGTTAAAACGAGCGTTTTTAAAGTTATTTTTGTTAATTTGTTGATAAATTCTTGCAAAAATTTATTCAAAAGTCGATTTGTTGAAAATTATTAACAACTTTTCTAAAAATGCAAAAGTAAGATTTTGCAACATATATATGTATTTTAAATTTTTTAAACCAATTACTTGGTGAAATAAACAATTCAAAAATTAACTCAATGCATTTTTATGATCTATGCCACAAGGTATCCCAAATTAAACAAAAAACACCGGACATATTGCAATATTTATAAATTTGAATTTATGAATTTTTGTCTATACTTGAATTTTTATTTTGTCAAATGTTTCTTTTTAAATTGCTTATTGTTTATAAACAAAGGTCCGATGACTTTCTAGAAAAAAGGAATAAGTATGCTTTTAAGGATTACAAAATAAAATAAAATAAAATAAAGTAAAGTAAAGTAAAGTAAAAAAAAATAAAATAAAATAAAATAAAATAAAATAAAATAAAATAAAATAAAATAAAATTAAAATAAAATAAAATAAAATAAAATAAAATAAAATAAAATAAAATAAAATAAAATAAAATAAAATAAAATAAAATAAAATAAAATAAATAAAATAAAATAAAATAAAATAAAATAAAATAAAATAAAATAAAATAAAATAAAATAAAATAAAATAAAATAAAATAAAATAAAATAAAATAAAATAAAATAAAATAAAATAAAATAAAATAAAATAAAATAAAATAAAATAAAATAAAATAAAATAAAATAAAATAAAATAAAATAAAATAAAATAAAATAAAATAAAATAAAATAAAATAAAATAAAATAAAATAAAATAAAATAAAATAAAATCAAATAAAATCAAATAAAATCAAATAAAATAAAATTAAAATAAATAAAATAAAATAAAATAAAATAAAATAAAATAAAATAAAATAAAATAAAATAAAATAAACTAAAATAAAATAAAATAAAATAAAATAAAATAAAATAGAATAAAATAAAATAAAATAAAATAAACTAAAATAAAATAAAATAAAATAAAATAAAATAAAATAAAATAAAATAAAATAAAATAAAATAAAATAAAATAAAATAAAATAAAATTGTAAACTTAATACCGATTCAATATGAGAATACATATTACAAATATAAGTGATGACTATTTTTTGGTTTTGAAAATAGAAGATAAT